GATTGACACAGATAGGCGCTTGTATTGAACCTCGTCTTGATCGTGCATGAGGGAAAGCTAGAACGCCGCTTTCGTTTTCGCGTCTACGGAGCGTTGTAGAAGTTTTAGACGGGGGCGGAATAGCAGACGGACGGAGGCGAAAACGGACGCCGACGCGCAGCTTTCTTGTCCGCGTCTCCCAGACACTGCAGACGAGGATAGACGCATGCGAAATGGCAGACGATGCCAGTGGCTGCCCCGAGTCTGCTCGCGCGACTAGCAGGCGGTGCCCAAAGTAGACGCACCGGATGTCGCGAAAGGGATGCACTAGACTTCATAGCGTGTTCTGCCGAGCAGCCAAGCCAATCAAATAGTAATGGGCGGGGCCACTGATATGTGGGCGGGGCTTAGAGTGGGCCGTGACCTCGAACTAAATTGCGCCTAATGGCGTACATACGGTGAAACAAAAATTAGTGGAAGAATTTAAACCGTTTCATGAAGCCCAGATTTACTACAGTGGTAGGAACGAAAGCCTCCGATGTATGACTCGCAGCGAAAACTCGAAGGACAAGAATATCATCCGCATTTTCGCATTGCTAGCCTTGTGACTGCTTCAAGAGTGGAAACGTTAACGGAAACCACGTTTTAGACGTGCTTTAAATCTACCTAAAATTGACTGAACTAGAGGTTTTTGATGACGCTGAGCACTTTTCTAGTCTGAACCATATTTTATTTGCCGTAATTTGCCGTTTGCAATTCCTGGTGTCCACCGTGGCTTTCATTTTTGATCTTAACTTCCTCCTCCCTCCCTCCCTTCCCTTATTTCTAGGAATTCTTAAAAGTTTTTGCTTAAACTCCCGGAATATTTGTGCAGTGTGTCGCCGTCATTCATATCAAGCTCATTCATAAATGCATTCAAAATTAGAAGAAATCGATTTAGAGAGCCTATATTATCCTGCGGCCCTCCCAGAATCGAAACCCATTTTCATATTAAAAACACGGTGAACATTGCAAGACGGCTTTTTTATTATTTTTTTAGGTATATGAATTTATTGAAATCTAAATGTGCACGTACGACTTCACATAGTAGATGACGCCGATAGCCGAAAGCTTTATTAGAAAACACGGGGCTGAATTTGTTTAGGTTTTCTGAGCAAAATATTTAAAGAGGAAGATAGAGGCATTGGGCTAATGTTTCTAGGCATTCAGAAAGTGTAGCTGGTGTAGCAATGAAGCCGAAAGATTTTTTGAGCAATGGCAATTTTTTTTCGAAAAGAGTTTTATCTTAAAATTATATAACTGAAGGTTATGGCGAAAATAAGTGTTTCCAAATGGTTCGTCCGCGGAGAATTGCGATGTACAGATTATTGCTTTGATAAAGAGTAGTTAAAAAAAAAGCGTTCATACTCCGTTTCCTCTTAGATTCCTCCTCGACAAAAAGCTAGTAACAAGACAAACGCAAACGGACAGACTATACACGCAATCTCACGACGCATATCTTCGCGCTTGATTAGCTTATTGGGCAATAACACACGCATAGACAGAGCAATCCTTTCGTTTTGTGTCACCTTCTGAGGGTTAATTGGACCCCATTGGCTCATAGCGTTGATATTGCTCCGACATAAAGATGAAACGGAGCATCGTGCGACTGTAGACCTTTGCGAAAATCGCCTTTTGCGCGCTGCCATCTTCGTCTGCTGGATTGTGGAACGCTTTCTGAGCCTGCGCTGTTCATCTGCTGTGCGGTATATTGGACGCTGGGTGTGCGTCCACATCTGTGGCAGAATAGAGAGTTCTAGTGTTGAGTATAGAAGCAAACGGAAGTGCTGTGTGTTTGCGTTAGCGTTGTCTGCTCCAGCCTGCGCATGCGCGTCGTCGTCATTTGACAATTCAAGACGCAGTTTGAAGCATCCGCGCACGCTCAGCGAGGAATACGCAACGATAACGCAAACGTCCAGTGCTTGCGTTTGCACGTATACGCAATACTAAAACTCACTAATATTTCGCCCTGGTGATAAGCGATGCAAAGGTTCATAGGCCGCGCCTTCCTAAGTTCAATCGCAGCCGACCTTAAGATGTAGCCATTCAAGCAGCGGCAGAAGTGCTACCTCACGGCGCTCCTCGTCTATGCGTGTTAAGTATCACCGACTAAACCGAGCAGGCACAACGAAAGTACCGTGATCCTCCACGTATTTTGTGCGGGACTGGTTCAGTCGGTGATACTTAACACGCGAAGACGAGGAGCTACTGATCTCTATTGTAGTAGGCTGGATCGCGGATCGGGAACCCGTCGGTGTCACCACCGGCGGCCATTGCTTGACACCAGGCTATGCATGCAAGTCTATGGGAAAAACGCACAAAAGTAAAAATATTGAAGCATGTAGTACGCTGTGCATGGAGGCGAGTGTTTGGAGATTGAATCGGTATTTATCAAACGTTCGAAGAACCTACGGCTGGGTTGGAAACTTTGCTCTCGCAGTGATGTAAGCAAAGGAACGTGCCGTCAATGAGACCGTGCTTGGAGAAGCATAGAAGTTGATGAATGACAAACAAGTTCCATCTCGACAGCGGCTTTACGGGAGTGAGCGAATTCCGCGTAACAAAGCCTTAGAGCTTGTCGTCTGCTAAACCCAACTCAACGAAACCGCCACCGACTCCGCGGTAACCCTAGGTAACTCTCGCCTCATTGAGCTGCACCACATCTATCGCCCAGCGGAGTCACTCTCGACCACAAAAAATTTATTTATAAGAACTGCGAGGGCTGTCAGTTTTAATGTTTGTACGCAAGCTACTTGACGGGCTTATCGAAAAGCAGCCAAACGTTTCAGTGCCGACAACTGTTTAGAAACGGGAGAAACGGCACTTTTCTCTTTCTTCCCATAGAGTCCCATGCATTGGCTGGTGTCAATCAATGGCCGCCGGTGGCGACACTCGGCCCCAGCTGCCTAGGCCGCGGTCCGCGATCCAGCCTACTATACAATAGAGATCGGTGCGAGGAGCGCCTTAAGAACGCACTTCTGTCGCTTCATGATTCGATACATCAGATTGTGGCGTCGGATTCGGTCAGACAAAGTGAATGAGACTTGCCGTTTACCTTTGGAGGGCGAAGAGTAATACGCCAAGCTTTCTGTTTTTGGGGAAGGAAACGATCCAGACATTAATATTGTCATTAACAGAGTAAGGAGGCCAGAACTTTTTTTTTTCGTTTTTTTTTCCCGAATGCTTGGCAGTCAGCACCCGCTTGTTGCCTTCCGTTGTGCTCCGGATGCGCGTGCACACTCGAAGTTAACGAGACGCCCAAGTGCCATCGAAGGTAAGACGGCCCAACTCGAAGCCGGACAACTGAAAGACCTGCATACCGTTCGAGTCCTGTCAATGACAAGAGTGTACAGCCGCAATCTACGAGTGCTTGACAAAAATATTTCTTGCATCGCTTGTCAAGTGGTGTGCGGCGAAAATGTTGCCACGGGGAATTCGCTGTTCCCGTGGCTTCAGTCGTTCTTGCCGAAACCAACGCAACTTTTTTAATCATTCTACAGAAAGACTTTCGCGCTTCGTTCAAATTTTTCCTCCATCACGGCTTACAACTAGAGGTTTTCAAAAAACCTGTTTGAAACACGTGCAGCTAAATTTTGCAAAAGAAAACCGCCGTTTGCTATTAGTGATGTCATAAAACATGATATCGTCTTTAAATAAAAGCCGCCGCCTCTTTTTATGCACACTTCAGTGTCATGGATACACATAAGAACAGGAAGGGCCTCAGACCCCCATCCTGGGCTACACCCCAAGTTGGAAAGCAAACGAGAAGCAAAATATAGCTTACGGTCTCGACGCGGAGAGTTCTGCGGTGTTCTGGATTATATTTTGTGGTTTTCTTTTTGGTTTTTTTTGATGGTCACACCTCACTTGGCCGTCAATTTTTAATCTTAGGACTTGAGCTAGGACCAGTGCGCAATCTAGGGCAGATAAGACTGGCTGACGCCTCACACCGACTCACTGTACAGGCAAAATATAGGGGTGAATCGTTATTTTCAAATAAAATGTTTAATACTTTAATGTATGTTTGAACGTTAAATAAGGTTCGAAACTATGATAAAAAATAAAAAATTTGTTAGACTACATTGCTTGGTTTTTATTAGTAATATTTATTTCTGTTTATTTTTGTCTTGGCAATATATTTTTTCTTTGCGTAATAGACAAAATAAAAATACATTCTATATATTGTCTTGGTGCAGTTTCCTTTGTATCTGCCACCATATTGTGACAGACTAGTTGTTCTGGAGCACGAAATAAATAAAGCGCCGATAATATTTTTCTTATCATTATTACATTGGAAGTGACGTAGAGTGACGCACTTGGTCATAAATGCATTCCTGCGTAATGCACAGGGCATAGCTAGAACATCGTATGGGTTCATCAAGGTCCGCTACATGCTAACATACCACTAAGGCTTCTTTTGTCTAACAAATCAATAAGTTAAAAAAAACACTGGAATATTTTAAGAATAGCTTCGATGAATTCATATGGGTTCCCGTCGTTTACATATCTTCTAACACAGTGCGAAGGAAGAACCTATTATACCTGGCAAAACTACTCAATGAAAAATGTCCCCAGCAAAACGTTTTATGATTAAAGGCGGCAAGAGTCGACCACCAATGGCATTTATGCTCCACGAGAGTTTCAGAGGAAAAAAAACAAAAATCGAACTGCAGAGACTCACCGCCCGCTACAGGCTGGTTCAAACAGCTATTACGGAGGCACCATCACAGCCCAACTTTATTATCAGCAGTAACGCACTGAACTTCGATACGACACGTGTTTTGTCACAAGAACGGTGAATGATTCTTCTCTTTTATCTATCTACGCTCGCAGGCCACGCCCAGTACACATATCGTGTGACTATCGTTAAAATCTTGCGACATTAACGAACCACAAACAACCTTTCTTACCCCCTTTCGGAACCCTGACTAAAACTGTATCTCTTCCCGACACGAAAACGTAGAACACAAAAAGTTACTTACGCCTTCGATCGTCCCTTGGAAGCCATTTCAGGCACTGCACGAAACAGAAAGTTGTCTGACGCCGCCACCCTCCTCGATTAACGCTCTTATCAAAGCTGTGATCACGCGAAAGCAAAGGCCGCGGAAGCTAGCTGGATCAACTTAGTTGCGGGCACCGTGGTTGCGGAACTTTCGCATAAACGAACACCCCCTCTCCTCCCAAAGGTCGCCATAGTCGATCGCAGCGTCATCCACAAACTGCGATTCAAAACTGTAATCTTCGGAGACGCTAGAACACCCAAATGGCGGAGCCAGACGTATCGCCTTTCCATTCGCCACCAACTCCTCATTGGCAGACAAGGGGTCTCATGCGCTAAATGTAACTACTTCGCTCGGGGCGAAGCCGTTTCGAGTAGAGCCGTACTTGGGACATACGTTTCGCTTTGCGCTCGCGAAATATAGATCTTGCACAGAAGTATGACGACTAGCAGAAAGTTTTTTGAACCTTTGGACATTGTGTGTGCCGTTTATATGTCTCTAATTGCGTTATTTTTATAACGCGAGCGCAGTTTTAAAGCGTCTGTGAGCAAGCAGACGACACGAGAGCCACGACGACTAAGCACGGGGCACGCGCGCTTTTGTAGAATCCGAGGGGCGCACGACGGTGCATAGGCGGTGAACCGCGCCTCATGTCGTCGCGTCCGTCGCGCCTCGTGCAAGAGCGAAGTTCACTTCTTCCCGCAATACTTAGTGTAAAAAAAAAAAAAAAAAAAATCTCTGATTGTTGCAATAGTCTGCTCTACAAGCGGAGCATGTACAGTTAGATTCTCCAGGCGACGTTATGGTGAAGTGTCATCTAGATGCTGAGCTTCAGTAGGCCGTGGTTACCTGTGCAGCCGTCCCCAAAAACGGTGGCGCGTCGAGCGATGGGAGGCGAACGGTGGGGGAAGAGAGGGGTACTGCTAGCATGAAGCAGCGTCCCTGGGCAGTTCCATAACTGCGTTTATCTAGTTACGCTGGCGGATGCACACCAAGGTACTGTTTTGACCGTGCGGGGTCCGTGGTGGTGGAGGGGCGACTCGAGCCAGGCACCGGGCTAGAGCTCAGCGGGGACAACGATAAGCCACAATCTTTCTCGAAAAGTACAGTTTATTTACATGATGTACAGTTGGTTCAAGAACAGAGAAGACATTTGCTTCTCAAACTTCGCTCATTTTAGCACTTCGTTCTCCCTAGGTCTCTAGGTAGGGACCTACATCGGCGGATGGTCGGCCAATCACAGAAAAGTGTCCCGTTCAAGCACCGCCCCACATTCCATTATTAGGCACACTAAGCCGCCGTAAACACTTCACCGTCGGTCTAGACGGCGCCGAGAGTCTCACCAAAACACCTGCTCGTTGGTATCCACGCAGCGGGTCAAAACATCGTCCGCGGGCCGAGACGTGACGTGCCGACATTCGACTCTTCGTGTCTACGCGTTGAATGAAGGCGTCCTGATGATTTCATCGCCCCGGATCGTGCCCTGGTGTTTCGGTCGTGAAACCTGAGACGTTGTTTTGCCTCTTCGGAGGCTATATCCAGACTTGTGCACGTTGAAGTCTGGCTATATCACGGCGCCCGTCTGGTGCGTTCGCGGGCCAGGCGTGCTTCTGAAGCGACGATTGCTCCAAGCTCGCTGAGTCAGATGACCTTGACCCCGCAGGAGACGCTCGACGAAAACAAACGGCCAGATGCACCCATTACGAAAATAGTCCGGGGGCCATTCATCACAGTACCAGTCAAAGTAGACGATGTATGCCAGACCCAACATTGTCACCCCGAGGCTTCACGCAAAATGAACAATCGCCAAACGCGTTTTTAGCTTTAAGAATTTAGGTAATCTTGTGAGGTTCAAGCCACCCTTGAGTGTGTAAATTGTTTTTCGCATTTGTTTCCTTTTTGGCTTGTTTCATGGCTGATTGTGCAACGGCATTAAGGATTATTGAAAATGTGCGGTTTCCTGGAACTACGTCATGCCTCCTAATTACGAACCGAGTTAATACGGACATACCGATATAAAGACAATTTTCGGGGTCAAACTGGGTAAATACATGCACTTTTGTCTCGTTATTGTGGAAAACTCGCACTGTGGGTGCTTTTGGGGGGTTACCGGACGTGCCCACATTAGTAAGATACCACTGTTTTTTTTTGTTTTTTTTTCTTGTTTTCTTTTTTATGAGGCTCCGATTGTCCGATGGCGTGGACATTACCGCGGATAGACCTCTTAAGGCTAGCAAAAAGTTGGAGGACGAAAACAGGCACCAACGTCAAAACTAAAGCTCGTAATTTCTTATCTGACTTTCTACGAGTTTATAGACCAACACGCGGCTCTGACGTCACGCCTCTGCGGTGGCGCTGTCGTCGCCACGGCGCATGCGCAGAAAGCTTCACCTCAAGGGAATCTGGTTACAAGGCATAAGCGCGGGCTTGTTTGTAAACAGAGCGTCGGTCTATACATGATAGTTTGTCACCCAGTAGCAGCGGCACCTTTGGACATCTACGGTCGGGATGTACTCTAGGGGGTACCTTTCTGCGGGTGAAGTCTCAAGCGGCAATAAGAAATATAGAGCGCCTGAATTAAAAGATTTTTGAACATCTCAATCAATGATCATTGGTAAACCGTTATCATGCGCGTGAGGAACGCCATGTTGACGATAATTGCTTTCTAAAATCAGTTGACTCACAGAGTTGTTTTTTTGTGCGCAGCCCTTAGGCGCCCGCTTCCGGGTTTCGCGACGTCGGTGTTGGAGTCGGCGTAGCCGGCCCGCTAAATGTAGCGGGAAATTGAATTGGTGTTGAGGTCACGTGACGTCGGTTTTTTCCGCAAAACTTAGGGGGGTAATAACGTCAGACGGCTTTGCGTCACGTCACCCTTGAAGAAATTCAGTTTCTCCACTAGATTTAGCGGGGAAATTAACGCCACATGACCTCAACACCAATCTGAATTGAATGGAGGAGGAGGGGCATACCCTCCGCTTCTCCCCCTCCCCTCGTCCTCCTCAAGAGCTGCCCTCTGATTTCGCGTTAGTGAGATTTGCAAACCTCTTTCATTTCTTTCTTACTCGGGCTTCATAAAAAAACTGGGTAGCTCGGCAATAGCTCAAGAAATGCGTATAAGACCACCTTAGCTTCGCCAGCATTTTAGTGCGCAGCTCTTAGGCGCCCGTTTCCGGGATGAGCGGCGTAAACGTCGCAGTCGCCGTCGACGTAACCACGCTAAATTTAGCGGAAAATTGTCGTCACGTGACCTCAACACCGATTTAATTACCCGCTAAATTTAGCGGGGAAATGACGTCGCATGACTTGGTATCACGTCCCCTATGAACAAATTCAGTTTCTGCGCTAGATTTAGCGAGAAACTTGACGTCACGTGACCACAACACCAAATCAGTTTTCCGCTAAACTTAGCGGGGAAAATAACGTCACATGATTGGGTGTCACGTCACCTATGAAGATATGCAGCTTCTCCGCTGGATGTAGCTTGAATATTGGCGTCACGTGAACTCAACAGCAATTCGATTCCCCGCTAAATTTAGCGGGGAATTGAATTGATGTTTAAGCGACGTGGCGTTAACTTTTTAGCCAAATTTAGTGGGGAAACTGTGGGAGGAGGGGAGCGTATGCAGGAGGAGGATGGAAAGGTACGAAGGAGGAGAAGGAGGATAGGAGGATGGAAGTAGAAGGATGAGGAATAGGGGAAAGAAGGAAAGGAGGGGAGACAAGGATGGAAAGAGGAGGAGGAGGTGCATACCCTCCCTTCCTCCCCCTCCTCCTCAAGAGCTGCGGTCTAATTTCGTGTTGTAGATATTTGTAAACTTAGTTTACGCTGTAGAAGTGTTTTCACCCAAGAATATTCTTTTTTTATTTTCGCCGTAATCTAAATATCTGCATTTAATGCTTATCAAGGAATTGTTTTGTTTTATTTTCTTTCTTTTTTTTTTTTTAATGACAGAGCATTTCTGTTTGACCCGTCCTTTTAGCCCGAACGTTTGGACAAGCTGGGTCTAGAATGCAACATCTTTCCTTTTGTGCTTTAAGAACTAATTTAGTTTCTAATGTCACATAACTGATCTAACCTAATATTAAATCGCCAACATATGTGTGGACGAAATTAGCGTCCGCTCCGACCACTGGCCAGGTCGTCGAGCCTATACTGCAGGCTTGGTCGTGGTGGGTCTCTCTTTCCTCTCGCGTCGCATTTGATACCTTTGGCCAGGGTCCGTGCTAGCTGGTGCCAAAAGCCAATGGCATGTGCTTTCCACGTGAACCGTGGTTGTTGACGAGGAACCCTCCCGTAAGCGTGATGTAGCCGAATTCATCACGAAACTACTACTTTCACGCGAGCGCATCAAAAGACAGATCGAAGCACTGAGAACTCTTTACAACTTTATTTTGTCAAAAGTTTTGCTGCAAGAAAAAAACAATTGTGGTACCTCTAAAAAAATTAAACCACCACTAAATATTTAAAGACCTTCACAATACCCTTCATATCGACAAGTTTCCTTGCCTAACATCGCACAGTGCAGTCTCTTCCGGCCGGCGATCATTGACCGGTGCCCACCGAATCCGGATTACGAAGTTTTTTAACGAGGGCGGTGAGGGGCCGTTCCAGGTTCTCGATTCTTTCTTGCAGCCCCTTCAAACGAATTGGCAAATGTGAATCGTCAGTACCACGCACTTATACTGTCAGAACAGAACGTAAGGGCGCTGGTGACCTGGTGTATACTGAACATTTTGAGGCAACCAGAGACTGAGGAAAGACGAAAGTTGTCACCAAGAGAAGGAGAACTCCTATATAAAGGTTATTTCTCGAAAAGCGGGACAAATCGTTACTGCTGCGAAAAGTACGCACCGCACAGAACGATAAGTTTGTCTTATTGGTGTCTACCAAATGGCCTTTTCGGGAAAATGAATAGCGTTTCGTATAGCAAGGTTGTCATTACATTGAAGGAATAAACCTTTTATGGGTAAATTTGAAAGTATTTATTGAATTAGAAACTTTGTAGGCGCCATCAGAAACAACTAACGGCTAACTCTATAGAGCGA